CGCGGAGCGCGCCAGAGAGGAGAAGGCCATGGCCAGCATCACCACGAAGCGCACCGACATCGACCGTCTACAGAAGGCCCTCAACGGCTTCGAGGAGGAGCGCCGCCGCGAGGCCGGCCTCGCCATCAAGGCCCGCAACGAGAAGAAGATCAACGTCGCCAAGGCCCACATGCGCAACGCCACCCGCCTCAAGCAGAAGATCGCAAACTATGAGACGAGGGTCGTCGCCAACCAGAGCCAGCTCGACGCCCTGGAGGACGCCAGCTTTAACGTCGGCAACGTCAAGCAGATGAAGGCCTTTAAGGAAGATATCCAGAGCCTGCAGCAGGACCCCGACGAGGTCAACGAGACCCTGCAAGGCATGAGAGAGGCTCTGGATGACGTCAACAACGTCAACCTCACCTTGGAGGCCGACGCCAACCTCAACAAAGGTGCCTATGACGACGACATTATGGCCGGCTTGGACGAACTGGAGGCAGAGTTTGCAGACGACACCCCTGTGCAGGACATCCCGGCCGTGCCGGGCGAGAAGCCCACCATGCCCACCGCCCCGGTCCACGCCGACCCAGAGGAAGAGGAGATGCGCAGATTGGAGGAGGGCATCTGAGTCCCCGCCCCGCGCCCTTATCATCCCCCTCCTTTCCCTTTCCTCCCACACCGCTCCGCCACCGTCCACCTTGTTTTTTTTGTTTTGAGCATCCAGTCCGTCCAGGCCCTCCCTGCGCCCGCCCGCTGCCCTCGACCTTGCAGTCGCTCTTGTGCCCACCCCTGTGCGCTGCCCCGTTCCCCTCCATCCCTTTCCCATCCTATTCCCATCCCCCCTCGTCTTGTGTTGGTGACGCTTTAGAGTTGCTCGAGTTGCCGGCAAGTTACATTTGGCCGCCGAGTGTTTGAGCGTGTGTGAAAAAACCGTGCTATTCCGCTTGTTTTGTGCACCTTTCTTGTTGGGCTATCGTCCGGTTGCGGCCCCAGCTCAGCGCTGGGTCTTTGCCAACCAGAGGCAGTGTGTGTAGATTTTAGTTTGTTCCGTCAACTTGAGTCAGGTTCCTACGATGTAATGTAAATTCCCGCTACCCCCGCCCCCTCCACCTCCGCGCTGCGTGCTCTCGTCCGGACAAGTGTAACTGGAGTCGTGGACATACACCAACTACGGAGAGCACCGTGTAGTGGGCGCCCTTTCCTGCAAAACTGAAAAACTGTGACGAGCGAGGCGCATCCCGCCCATCCTTCCTTCTCTCCCTCCCTCTATAGTAGGGGGGCTACAAAATCGCAAGCGGAAGGAGCAAATACTCGAAATAGAAGGCCTTCCAAGTGAACATGTAGAAGCGATAGATCTGCTCCGAGCTGTCAGTGTCGACAGCGACCGCTCTACGCGCGATTTCCCCCGCGACGAGCAAATGCGTCGTCGCGGCGAGCACCCCCCCGGCCATGGTGGTAGAAACGCGAAAATAGAACACGGACGCGATGGAAAACATGGCGACGAGTGCAGCGACGCACGCGCGAAAGATGGGCTTGGCACCCAGGCGCACGGAGAACGTGCGTATGCCGAAGACGCGGTCGCCGCGAATATCGGGCGCGTCCTTGAGCAGCGCGATGACGACCCCAAACGCCATGAAGAAGGCGGTAGCAAACCTGACGAGCAGCGGCAGCGGCGGCGGGGCGGCGGGCACTGCCGCGGCCACGGCGTGCGCGAAGAAAGCGACGTTGATGAGCACGCCGCGGACGACGAGGATGGCGGCCGATGCGAGCAGCGCGAAGCGCTTGAGGCGGAACGGGGGCGCCGAGT